GCTATTCCAACAAGCGGGACTGGCCTAGGGTAATTTTTAAGAGGGGTTTTAGAGGGGTTTTTAATCATATTTTAATCAGACAATTTAAATATTTCATTTTAATTAATTTTAATTTTGTGATTGTTATCGGTGTTTTTAATTGATTGTCAGCCGCCCTGAGTCCGCAAGGAGAAGGGCGGGATATAAATTCGAATAATAATAATAATAATAATAATAATAAAATAATAATAATGTCCTGGCCATATTCCTCCATGTAGCTGAGGACTTGGGTTAGGAAAAATCCCAAGCGTGTTGGCTCCCCTTTGAATTTCACCTCCAGCGGCGGACGTCTTTGAATGGATCGGTGCCTTCGTTCTCGGTGGTAGCCTCTTCCATTCAGATTTCCATCTGTGGTTCGGTGGAGAGTGGGGACTACTGGATCAGCAGATGTCCCCGGGGCTGCAGGTTCCACTTCCCCTTCGGTGTCTCTCCCTTTGTGGCTCCAGGAGCTGGGGCGGGCGTAGGGCTCAGGATTCTCCTCTCCTAGGGAGCTGAGAGTTCACTTCATTAGGTCGATTGCTTTCTCTAGGATCCAGCCCGAGTAAGGTGCCCAGCTCTCTTCCTCTTCACTTGTGTGCAGGGATTTCTCCATCTCCTGCTTCCATTCTGGTTGTTTGGGCCCCCGTCTCAGAGTCACCTTTCTTGATTCCTTTTCCCACTCGCCTTTCTTTCCAACGTCCATTGACCACCAAGGTTTGTGGTCCCGTGTCTCCACCACCTCTTCTCCTGAGGATTCTGACCTCTCAGATCCCGACAGCTGGCAGAGTTTCAGCCCCGGCAGGGGCTCCCTTTCCAGGGAGTTTTCTCCCTTCCTTGCTCCACTGTCTGACATGGTAATTTTTGCAAAGTCCCCCGGCAAGGGTCTTCCTTCCAGGTGGACTAATTTTGCAAGTCCTGTCTAATGTAAGGACCCACCCCACTTTGCATCTTAAGAAGACAGAACTCCTGGAATATTTCTTCCAACAGGCATCTTTATTAAGAGAAAGCGGATTGCAGGCGTTCTAGACAGGACTTGGGTTCAAGCTCTCCCATTCAAGGTTTTAAGGGATCCCCCATTAGCCACACCCCATCACCCCCTTCTCCCAGCGACAATCCCAGGCATTACATTCTCACCCCCTTTTCCTCACTGCTGGGAGGAGACTTCAGAAAGGATTACATGAAAGCTAATGACCCCCATTGTTATTGTTAGTCCTTTTGGTGATATCCACATCCAGTCCCTTTGAAGTAGACTGAAGGAAGCCCCTTTGTTCACCCCCTTCCCTTCATCGTATGACAGAATCCAGAGAAGGCAGAAATGCGGTTTTCCATAGTTGATAACTAGAGATGGAATATATTTGGATTCTGACAATTGGCTTCGCTTTTGGGAAGCCATCTGGGAAGGTCGCAAATGGTGAAAATCAGGTGACCCCAGAAGGTTGCAATTGTCATAAATACATGCCAGTTGCCAAGCACCTAAAGTTTGATCACGTGATCATGGGGACGCTACAACAATCATGTCACTTTTTTTAGTGCCATCATTTTGAGTGGTCACTAAACAAATGGTTATAAATTGAGGACTACATCTATTATAGCCCAAGATTAGTTCTGAGAAACCAATTCTTGGAATTTTTAGAACAAGGAAAAAAAACCTTGGCCAATAACTTGTATATGTATATGTATATACATCACAATAAACCCATTTTATCACATCTCTTTGCATAATTATGTTCCCCAGCATCAACTGGCAATGATTACTGTGCATTCCATGCTATCAGTATGTCGAATAATATACTATATCTTATTGATCTTCACCTCACTCTGCATTTCCTCTTTCATTCAGTTCAGAAGAATTAGAGAGCCATTGTGGACACTGAGCCACTGATTTGGAACAGAATCATCAAGTACTACAACAAATGCATGTTCAATATAGTTAATTTATCCAGGACGTCATGCAACATTGAACAGACAAAGCAAATCCCAAGGATCAAAAGCAAGACCCATATTCAGGGATCTAGGATGACAGCTGAACAGATGGGTAGAAATTATATTTCCCCGTGATTTGGCAAAGTAATACAAGGCAAATAAAAAACGTATTATTGCAAGGAAACTTCCCATCTCCGCATCTCCTTTCAGTTATATCCCACCCTTACCCCTGTCCAGGCTTGCCTGTTTGGGGCATCTTGCTTGTAATTAGAACTTAGCCTAAATTTCTCACAATTTTTCCTAGATAGGGGAAATAGTTTAACCAAATCATTGGTAATCAGCTATGCCAATAGGGCTGTTCCAGCTGTTGGTTGATGCCATCTTTTTCCTGCTTATCAGTCCCTAGAACTGCCATCACACAGATTTGGCTTTATGGAGAAATTTCCTACAGATCAGTGTTTCTCATTCTGGGAGTTGAAGTTTGCACATCTTAACAGATGCCGAGGTTGAGAAATGCTGCTCTGAATGACGACAACCTGAAATAATTGGTACAAAAAAACAGCACTTTCTGTCATGCTCCTGGAATCTTAAAGGTTTAAAAATGTAGCACCTGGTGAAAACTACGTGTTGAGATGATTATCTCAAGTGAGAGGCATTATTTTGGCTCAGTGCTCTGTATCAGCCTATTTGGACAAGAGGCGATATATATATATTTCCTTTTTGTCTTATAAAAGTGCTCATCTCAGAGTTGTTTGATAGAGAGATGGGTGGCGTATAAATTCTATAAATAAAAGAAAATAAATCTCCATGAGCTTCTGGTTCTCTTCATAGACTGAAATAAAAAGTGCAACAAAGATGATCAGGGGACTGGAGGCTAAAACATATAAAGAACGGAATTGAGTATGTCTAGTTTAATGAAAAGAAGGACTGGGGTGACATGATAGCTGCCACAAAGAAGCGAGAGTCAAGCTATTCTGCAAAGCACCTCAGAGCAGGACAAGAAGCCATGGATGGAAACTAACCAAGGAGAAAAGCAACCTAGAACTAAAGAGAAATTTCCTAACAGTGAGAACAATTAACCAGTGGAACAAACTGCCTCCAGAAGCTGTGAATGCTCCAAACCTGGAAGTTTTTAAGAAGAGATTGGACAGCCATTTGTCTGAAATGGTATAGGGACTCCTGCCTGAGCAGAGGGCTGGACTAGAACAGAGGTCTCCATCCTGTTGGGCACCAGGGACCGGTTCTGTGGAGAAAGGTTTTTCCACGGACCGGAGAGTGTGTGGTTTTGTGTGCTGCCTGCATCCCACGGATGGGGCTTTGCTTGTTTGTGTGGACCGGTTGCTGGCATGCCATGGTCTGGTACTGGTCCATGGACTGGGGGTTGGGGACCCCTGGACTAGAAGACAAGGTCCCTTCCAACTCTGTTGTTCTGTTCCATTTCGTTCCATTCCATTCAATTCCAAAGATGTCAATTTTCCCAAGGCCCCCAATAACTTCAGAATTTATCAATCCATCTTTCCCCTTTGAATCTCAATCTAGCTGAATTGGTCGGGATCTACCCCTTCCAATCCTGTCTGTTCTCCCCCCAGGTCTACGTCCTCGGACACTGCCAGTCGTGGCAGCGAACCTGTGGAGATGCGCCCAGCCAAGAACAAGGCTGCACGGCACAAGAGGCTTTCAACGCTCTTCCAGCGAGGTGGGGTGGGAGGGCCCACTGGTGGGGGAGGAGGCTGCTGGGCCAGTGAGAAGAAACTAGCCGATCTCATTGACCCCCTGCCCGAAGAACGAGTCAAGCCCCCATCTCAGGGAGAAGTGCCAGGAGTCCTGAAAATCTATGGAGGAGACATCTCCATGGGCGCCAACTATAAGAGTGTGCTGGCAACCGCACGTTCCACTGCCCGCCAGCTGGTGCGGGAGGCCCTGGAGCGCTACGGGGTGACACAACCCAATGCTGAAGATGCCTACGTGTTGTGTGATGTTGTGGGCAGCGTTCATGGCATGGATAGCTCCTGGCAGGCCCAGTATCTCCGGGCAGTTGGTGATGCTGAACGGCCTCTGGTGCTGCAAGATGTGTGGAAGCCCAAAACCGGTTGCACTCGTCGCTTTGAGATCCGCTGCCGATGTGATGTGGAAAGGATGGTCAAGGGGGAGGATGAAGATGGAAGCGGTGAGTGCTCTTCTTTGACGCTGGTCAGCTTTTTTCTACTCCACAGATTCATGAGCTGTACAAATTTTTCAGACATTTGCTTTTATTTTTCGAAGGAATTCACATTTCTGGGCCTTATGTGCAATTTATTTATATGCTTGATTTATATCCCACTTTCCACGCCGGCAGCAACCAAAATTTAAAACCAAAACAGAATATATAAAGCTAGAGCCATAAATTAAAATTAACCCTACATTTTTACAGCTAATTAAAGAAAAAAGCCTTTCTCTGCCGGCGCATGATTAATTTGTGGAATTCATGAGCATGGGATGTAGTAGACAGACTTGAGTTTAGAAGGTTTTCGCAAAAGATTTGGTATTTGGTTGGACATCCACGCCTATTAACAGCCATTAATTAGCCAAGAATGCTGAAAATAAAACTTCAATTAGTGTATTTCAAAGTCCCAGATGTTGGAGGGGATGGTAGGATGTATCCCTCCCATTCTGCTCTTGTTGAAGGTCTTCTCAGGTCCATTTAGCTGGCTATTATTAGCTCTTTAGTCTGTTCCAAAGCTGCTGTTCTTGTAACTAAGAAAAGAGTCTCCCAGAACTGTTATTTACAACCCCAGAGGATGTAATGTTTTTTCAAGGGCCTTTGGCTTTCATTCATGCGGTCTCCGTTCTTCTAAAACATCAGCACAACTGCTCTGAATTCAGTGTACAGGTAGTCTTCAACTTACTACCACAACTCAGCCCAAAATTTCTGATGTTAAGCAAGGCAGTTGTTAAGTGAGATGTGCCCAGTGGTGGGATTCAAATATGTGAACAACCGGTTCTCTGTGTGGATGCCACTTCCGGAAGTCCGTTCTGGGCCTGGGCAACAAAAAATTAGCTACCGGTTCTGCCGAACTGGTGCGAACCGGCTGAATCCCACCACTGGATGTGCCCTATTTTACGAAGTTTTGCCACAGTTGTTAAGCAAATCACTATGGATGTTAAGTGAATCACGTGGTCGTTAAGCTAACTTCCCCTATTGACTTTGCTTGTTGGAAGTTGGCTGGGAAGGTCATAAATGGTGATCACATGACCCCCCCGAATAGTGTAACTGGGTACAAGATAGAGTCATTGGGTACAAGACAGGCGGCAAATAAATTTTCTAAATATATAAATAAATCCATGCCAGTTGCCAAGCACCTGGATTTTGATCAGGTGACCATTGGGATGCCGCAACAGTTGTTAAATATGAAAACTGGTCATAAATCACTTTTTTTCAGTGCCATCGTAACTTTGAACGGTCACTACATGAATGGTTGTAAGTTGAGGCCTACTTGTATAGCCACAGCAGATAAACCTAAATTGTAGCTCTCTGTCCAAAATACAGAGTCCAAGGCTAATGCCTTCTCTCTTTCCCCTCATTCCTCACAGGCAAATGGAGCAAAGCTCCCTTCCATTGCTTCATTTACCTATCCCAGTGTTTCTCAACCTTGGGAATGTGAAGCAGTGTGGACTTCAACTCCCAGAATTCCTCAGTCAGTATGCTGGCTGGGGAATTCTGGGAATTGAAGTCCATACATCTTAAAGTTGCCAAATTTGAGAAACACTGATCAACACAAAAAATAGTGGGAGGATGGCAGTATGGAAACTCCTTGAATGGAGAACAGGTTGGCTACACAAGGCTACAGGTTGGAGAACACAAGGCTACAATTGGGATCAGAATATCCATTTTACAACTTTGTGTGCCATGATTGTTAAGTGAATCACTGCAGTTAAATGAATCATGCGGTCATGAGGCAAATCCAGCTTCCCAACTGACTTTGTTTTTTGGGAGCTGGCTGTGAAGGTCACAAATGGTGATCACATGACCCCAGGACCTCGCAACCAACCATCATAAATACATGCGGTTGCCAAGCACCTGTATTTTGATGTGACCATGGAGATGTTGTGACGGTTTTAAGTGTGAGAACCTGTCATAAGTTTTTTCAAGGCAGCTGTAATTTTGACAGTCACCAAACAAATGTTAAGTCGAGGATTACCTGCATACTGGTGCAAAGGGAACAGGTGCTTAACACAGTGACATGTTCCTTTTATTCATTTCCTTGCTCGGCTTAACCATACCTACATATTTCTAGGTAACCCCCAAAATAGTAATACAAATAATTAAGTCAGCTTTTCTGAATTTTGACCACCATTTTATCGTCATAATTGATTGGGGAGGATTTAGCCTCAAACTCCTGCACCTCTCCGGGTTTCAGTCCTTTCTCTCTCTGTTTCTTGTAGGGATTAACTCTCAGTCATGCCGGCAACAATCACGACGCTCCCGGGCTGCCTCGGGGGGGCATGTGGGCCCCAAGGAGAGAGCAGACAGCCTCTCGCTCCGGCGCAGCATCAGCGAGATGAATCTCAGCACTAAGCGCCGCAGGGACCGCAAAGGAGTACTGAGCATGGCAGTCGGTGAACCGGCAGAAGGGGGTCCATTGGGGGAATCACGGCTCAAAGCAGCCGAAGAGGCTGAGGGCAACCCGGCTCCTTCGGCCTCTGAAGAGGAGGCCACGGATGTGGCCAGCCTTGAGCAGCTTACCCAATGCCTTATCCAGCCCCCAACCGAACATCCCTATTTCCTGCAGTTACTGGGCTACAACGAAAAACAGGTAAATTCACCTTCCACTAATGGACTTGTTCAGCTTTTCATAGCACTCCAGAGAGAGAAAAAGCTAGGACAGCTTTCATCAAATGGATGTCTTCTGGAAAAGCCGAACTTCAGCTCTTATCCTTTTCAGACATGCTGACTGGGGATTATGAGATTTTAATTCTAAAGAGTTGCCTGCTAGGGAAAAGAAGGACTAGAAATTCCTACCCAGCAACTGCACCTGACGTCTTTGTTAACACCCACATTTATGCCTAACAGCATTAAAGGGACTGAGAAGCACCTGGTCCTATGCCACGGAGAAAGAAAATTTATACGCACAGATACACTCACGAACACTCGAGTGCAGCTTTTTGGCCAGGCTTTCACCTGGTCTAGTCATTCCTTCCCCTGAAACCGGAAGTTGGCATTTAATCATTTCAAGTTGTCACGTGTAGATGTTGGGTAGCCCAGGTTCAGGGGGCAAGATTGGAACTGGAATGGAGAGCAAATCCACAGCTGAATAGCAGGGAAGTCTTCCTCATCCTCTTGGCCCCAGTCTTCTTATCAAGCAGATTGAGGAAGTCAGCCTTAGAGAATTGACTTTAATACTATAAAAGCACAGTCCATTGTCAAATTATCTTTTTTTAAAAAAAAAAAATTACCTTCCCAAAGAGAAAAAACCGGTGGTGGTAAGTCCGGAGAATAATGGCGCTTGAGACGAAGCATTTCTAACAAGTCTTTATTCTCTGCTTCCAATCTACGAACAACCCGAGCAGAGGCACGCAGGCCTCTATTTATACCTTCTGATCCCCGGGCAAATACAACCAATCACGAGGCGGTCTTTTCCCGCCTTGCGCATGCGCGCAAGGCCGGCGCCACTCAGTCTGGTCCAGGGCAGCTTTTGCAATTGCCTGGGACTCTTGCAACGTTCCGAGCCTGCTTTTGCAGGCTCAGGACACAACACCCCTCCCCCCTAGATGAAATAATAATGCACCCACATGGACGCCATCATAGTAATGGTTATATAATTAACTTTGAGTTGATGTCACACAGTGTGTGTAAGGTGTGGGGCTGTTCCGTCGTACAAAAACCCAATGGCCCCAACCTCGTTTCCATAGAGTCAACCAGCCTGGACCTCTAGTTCAGTTATTGCTATTAAGATGCTCACCTTACGTAATCTGCAAGGTATTTGGGAGGGCCTTTGACCCTTAGTGACCTTCTCGGACCTGGGGAACTTGTAGTGTTTTCCCCGTTACTTCCCACACTAGGTGAATTGCCCTGTGGTTGTCTTGTGACTTCTGTTTGACTTTCCTGCCCGTCTCCTAGGCTCGAGAAGTCAGAACTCTGTTGATCGCTATACCTGGTTGACCTACCACCTATGGAGTTTTCCAACCCCTCTGAACTCATCTCCGTGTTTCCTGATGGAGTGTGGTTTTCCTGGCTCCTTTCTGTAGTGATAGGGTCTAGGGATGCCTCCCTGTTAGCCCTTATGCGTGGAGACATCCTTCTATGAGCCATTTCTGCAAAGGACGTGTTCCCCCCTTGTTTTGCCTGCTCTCTTGCATATTGTGAGTTGTGAGTATGCTCCCAGTTATTCTCCGTGTCTGGAGTATTGTGTGTGAGGTGTGGATAATTAGTATACCTATGTTGGGACTCCCAGGCTGGAGTGCGTGTGGGGGTGTCTGTGTGCCCCCTTTCCCATGAATTGCTACCTGAATCACCTGTGGAACTTGGGTGTTGAGTACCCGTGTCGTTCCCCACAACCGTTGTTGGCAGCAGATTCTGATTCCCAGAATGCATTCCCCATTCCTCCTCCCCCCCTGGAGGAGACTGAGGAGGAACCCCAGGCGAGTCCCGCCTCACACGAAGTTGATCAATGTGGCGGCGAAGAACGCGGCCGTCTTCCAGGGACACCTCGTAGGACAGAGGCCCCGAGACCTTGCAGACCACAGCCGGGACCCAGAGGTGTCCAGGCCCGTAGTTCCTGGCCCAGACAGGATCACCTTCACGCAGGACCCGTGGTGGGTGTGGCTGAGACACCTGTGAAGCTACACGCTCCGGATGCA